ATATACATGGCGTATAGATTAGGGTTTCAGCAAACTACAGCCCACAGACAGCCTGCCATCTGTTTTTGTATGTCCCACGAGTTAAACCTGAGGAAGTCAGCAGACCAGATTTGGCTCCCAGGCCTTAGTCTGCCAACCTTTAATATAGATGGGGGCCTATAGCTAAGTTTGACAATTCAGAGTTGCAAAAGGACTGATTATATAAGGTGAAAAATTACTTCAAGGGCTAGCAGTGCAGTGCTTCACTATCATTGCATTCTAAATATCTGTCCATCCTTCCCACAAATTTGTATTTGTGGAAGTGTGCCCGAAGGTTTTTGTGGAGGGGAGGGTATATTTTATAGATACTATTCTTACTATCCCATATTAATAATAAATGCCTATACTTGAAAAAAAGGTCATAATAGAACTTCCCATTTTGATATGTTTATTAGACTGCTAGAAGAAGGGAATGATGTCAGAGGCCTCCTTGTCCAAATCCCTCATGTTATAGATGAGGAAACTGAGGTTTAGGGAGGTTTGATGTCTTGCCCAAGGACCCCAGCTGTTATCATCAAGACGCAGGATTTGAACCTAAGTCCTTTTGACTTTAGAGCCAATGTTCTTTCTATTTCCTACATAAGATACATGGCTTTAGGTACATGGATTTAAGTAAATCATCTGACAAAGTCTTTCATAATATCCTTGTAGACAAAATGGTCAGATTTGTGCTGGATTAGGTAAATTTGGAAGTGGTTGAATGACCAGACCCAAAAGAATAGTGATTAATGGGAAAATGTCAACATGGAGAGGAGGAAGGGAGGAAAGAAAACAGGGATGGAGGCAGGGGGAAGGGAGAAGCAGAGAGAGAGAGAAACACAAAGATAAAGCAATTATTAAGCACTTACTATGTGCCAGGCACTGTGCTAAGTGCTGGGGATTAATGAATAGTCCCACAAAACTATCCTGGCCCCTGTTGCCTTCAATACATTTTGTCAATAACTTGGAGGTGCATATATGCTTGCCAGATCTGTAGAGGACACCAAGCTGAAAGGGATGTTGCTGGTAGGGATAGATAGCAGAGTCATGATCCAAACAATGTTTATATTATAGAACTATAGGTAGGATCCCATAAGACGGCATTTAATATAGGGATAATATGAAGTATTACACTCCAGTTTTCAAAAAAGTACAAGATAACACACAATATAAATATGTGTATATAAAAATGCCCATCATCTCTAGGCATCATATGCTATACAGTGGAAACAGCCAGGTTTTGGAGAAACTAGTCTGTGACTTTAGTTTTTGACTCTCTGGAACATTGGACCATCATGACCTGCAGAGGTATGATCCACTGATTTGTGGTTTCTTGAGATCCATGCCAAATGTCCTGGAAGCTGCTCTAAAATCAGAGTTGATTCCAGCTACTTACCTTTATGCAGACCTAAAAGGGAATATCTTCCACGTGAGTACGTGACCTTCATTAGATGGAATAAAAGAATGTGTGCTTATGTATTTGTGTGTGCACGTGTGGGTGCACATACATAAGCATAAATTTGGCCAAATCAGATTTAGATGAATGTATTTGCTTTGTCATAGCACAAGGCAGGTTTCAGACTGCTGTCTCAGAAATTGGGCGCTTTCTCCTACAGTTCCCAAACTATGATTATTTCACATAAAGTTTTAAAACACAGAAATGGTGTTAATTATAAGAAATGGTTGGATCTAAGGTTACCTTTGCTCCCCAGGAACTACTGAATCATTGAGGGATGAAAGTATTAAGCCATGAGAAAATAATAAAAATGTCTAATGCCTCACTATTTTAGAATTGCATTCTTCCTGAGAGAACTAATCTATTGCCTCTTGCCCAAGGCCATACTGTGACCTAAACACTTACTGCATTCTTTGAAGGGCATTTACTTTCCTTCAAAACCTTCCGAGCAAATCTGACTACATATGCAGTTAAAAAAAAAAAAGAATGGTGTTATTGATTTAACTACAAAAAGAAAATAATCTTAACACTGATTGGCCATTTAAAAGCAGATTAAATGCAATGTAGCATTTTAGTGCTTGCTGGCATCTTAAGTTCAAAAGGCCAAAAACTTAATTTTATTTTCCCCAAACTTCTTCCTCCTTCAATATCCCTATTTTTGCTGAAGACAACACTGTTCTCACAGTTGCCCAGGCTTATAACCTAGTAATAACCATTGACATTGCTATTCCAATTAGTTGTCAAATCCCATTGATTATACCTCTCTAAGCTCTCATCCACCCCATATTCTTCCTTCTCACTTCAACCATCCTAACTCAAACCCTCATCTCTTCTCATCTAGGTTACTGTAATAGGCTCCAAATTGGTCTTCCTTTTTCCACCCTATTTCCTCTTTAATCCATTCTACACACTATTGTCCTTTCCTTTTAAATGTTTCATTGATGCTCTTACATATATAAAAAATCCCTATTACCTCTTAGTGATTCCCTCCCCCCCAAATAGAAACTGCCCTTGTAACAAATAAGCACAGGTGAGCAAAACAAATCAACACTTCGGCCATTTCCACAAACGTATGTCTCATTCTCCATTTATAGTCTACTATCTCTCTGCTGAGAAGTGAGTAGCATGCTTTATTACCAATCATCCGAAGTCACAACTAGACATTGCCTTGATTGGAGATTGGAAGTCTTTCGGTGTTCTCTTCCTTTACATCACTGTGGTCATCACATAAATTCTTCTCTTCATTCTGCCTATTTTATTCTGTATCTGTTCACACCAATTTTTGCAGAGTTCTCTGAATCCTTAATTCTAATAATCGTTTTAACATGCATCTGTGATTGGTTTGGAGAAGACTTGACTATCTCTACCTGATGAAGCCTTTTCCTTCTTCAAGGCCCCACTTGGACGCCATCTTAAGGAAAGCTTCTTTCTCACTTCTCTTGTTCTTTTCACATTTCTCATAGCCTTGACTGGACCATTCATTTGCACTTATCTTGTCCTCCCTCACATCCTAATGATCTGTATGCATTCCTTTCCTCCATTAGATTGTCAACTCCTTGTGAAAGCCTAATCTGTATTATCTCTTTGTTTGGGGCTTATACGCAGTAGGCTTTTAATAAATGTTTGTTAATTTTAATTGAATATAATAAAGAGAGCTCAATGAGCATCATGAAGCTGGAAGTTCTCAGTTTGAGAAAAAAGTCTATTTTGAATTTCACATCTGGGAGTCTCAAAATATTTTGTGGCCATGAACTCATTGACCCCCCATAACATCCACAGATCAAATTAAGGACGTTTATTGCTTTGCCAGAGGTCGCAAAAGAAGGCAGCAACAGAATCATGAAAAATATCTTGGTCTCCACATTTTCACTTGCAGAAACACTAACAGTTTAGCATATTTTGACTAAAAGCAGATGCATTCTAAATCTCATTTCCATAGCTGATTTATGAATTTTTCATCTGAAAGTTTTCAAACAGTATGAAAAAGTATTCGGATGACAGTTTCTATGTGACCCTTTATATTTATATGTGGATATGTTTTTTCTCCTGAATTGATTCTGTCTTTGTATCCCCAGGGCCTAGCACAGTGCCTAGAAGAAAGTAACTGATCCTTAATAAATGATTTTTTATTGATTGAATAGACTAGTAAATAGCAGGCTAGCTAGAAGTATGTGAATATATTTACATGTGTATAAATTTCAAAGGAAATTTACTTTATAGTCATCCCCAAAACTTGGAAGGAGGCATTTTGTGAACATTGAAAACTACTCACTTATCATAGCTTTATGACATATTCAGATAGGGTAAAGAAAAGAATTGAGAACACCAGTTTAGTATCCTCCTCTCTATCCTACACACGCTCCATCAGGGGATTTGGAGCTCCCCAAGGAAAGGTGAAGAGAGGAGAACAAAAAGAAAAGGAATGAGAAGAGGCATAAGCAGCATGTTGTAGAAGAATGAGCACTGAGTGGATTTGGAGTAAAAGCATGTGGGTTTGATTCCTAACTCCAGCAAGTATTAGCTATGTGGCCTTGGACCAGTCATTACCTCTCTGGGCCTTGGTTTTCATTTGTAAGATACGGGATTTGACTGGATGGATTTAAGTTTTTCTTTCTAGCTTTACAAGATAACCTTCTCTGGACCTCAGTTTTCTCTTCTGTAAGATAACGGAGCTGAATGCTCTCTAAGGGCCTGTCTATCTTTAAAGCTTATGATTTATAACATCCACATACCAAATTGAGGACATTTAATACTTTGCCCTAAAAGAAGTGGGAAGGGTTCAAAATTTGGGGAGCAGAACATCAAAAGGCAGAACCTGGTGGCTGCTCCTAGTGCCTCAACCCTTTGAAATGAGCTTAAGTCCTTGTCAGGTTCAAATGCCCTTTAATGTTAAAAAATATGACTTTTTGATGCAAAGAAGAGAAAAAAGGAAACCTTAGAAAAGGATCACACCACACTGAACATCAGAGAGCTTTTACTAAACGTTTTTTTGGGGCTGGGAGACTATGAAATACTCAGAAATGTAATCAGATATGTTATGATAACTATAATCATGATAACAGAGGATGATGCTATTAAGACCATCATCTTATATTTGGTGAGTACTTTTCAGGAGAAGCTCAAGGAGTTTGTGAGAATTGTTCAATTTGTTCCCTACATCCGGTGTGGTGGAGAGGACAAGGGTAGTGGAAGAGACTGTTAATTTCATTTGGCAGATCAGAAGCTATGGCCCAGAGAAGTCCACAATAACATAAGTCAAGTTAAAATTCCCTCCAAATAGATATACTAGGAACTTCAAAGCCACCCCCCCACAGGCTTTCTGACATTTTGCTGCATTCCAGGTACAGCTGTTTTCTTTCATCCTAAGATGCTTCCAAACCAGTAAATCACATCTTCCCATAATGGCTACTCATTCATGAATCCTATTAAAGCAATATTTTTCTATTCAACAAATTTGTAGTTCATCTGATGGTAATCTAAACATTTCTTTTATTGTTTAAAGTAAGCAGAAAAGCAAAACACTTACCTCCATCTGCATTGGAAAAGCTCTGTGGAAACAAAAATAGGGCAAACCATTACATTTCTGGAGAACATTCTCATTTAATCCTTACTTCTCTTAGATTCACTCTATGCCCCAGATACAGAATTTTAATAGGAGACAGCACTTGACAGATGTTATCCCCTAGGAAGTAACTCCAATAAGTTGGCTATGTTGTTTTTGTTTATTTGTGGTTGAGATTGGATTTCCTTCTTTTGCCTGGGTTAGAAGGGTAGTGGCCACTTATGGGCTGCTCCTAACCCTGATCAACACAGAAGTTTTGATCTGCTCCATATTTCTGACCTGAGCCATTTACCCCTCCCTAAGTAGTCTGCTATCTCCCTGCTCTTTTGGGGTCATCAAATTGGTGTCAGACTCACAGTTCACCTCTGGTTGCTGTTAGCCCTACTATAACTTAGAACTTCCTAACTCAAGTAATCCAGCACCTCAGTTTTCCAAGGAGCAGGGATTTCATTCATATACTTCCACACTCAGCAAGAGAGGTTTGTCTTACAGTATCATGGTCAAGGCAGATTCTGTCTGAAAGACAAAAACTTAATAAAAGAGATGCTGATATGGAATTGAATCCTGTAATGGTTTCCAACCAGCCTAGGAATACTTCCTCTCATTTAATTTTTAGTTATGACAGTTATGCTCAATGAGCAACAATATATGAAGACACAGCGTATAGGAACAGTTTAGCATTAGAATCAAATATCACAAAAAGCCCATTTGACATACATTTGCATGGACTGACATATAAAATATTCACTATTCTTCATGCAAATGGGGCATAAATAACAAGAATTGTATATAAGTGTATACATTACTTTTGCACAGTCAAGTCAGGCATTTTGAGGATCACTGGAAACCCCAGGATTGAAAAAGTGGCAGCAGACCCTGTTCATTTTTTCAAGCAAGGGGTATCTGGATGTTTTGAAAGCCAAGGATTAAAAGCTTTCCTTTCCTTTCCTTTCCCTTCACTTAGGGCCTTCATTAAAGGTGAAATGAGTGGAGTAATGTTATTTAAGGATAAGGCCCCCTGCATTCAGAGATCTTCCTCCTGTTGCCTGAAATTTCATTAACTAGAGATAAATTTGGATTGATAAAGAAATTAACCTGGAAAGGGAAAGGTGGAGTGGGGTGGGGAGGCAGGAAAAAATAAAAATTTAATTTATAGCTTTAAAAAGAATATTCATTTATGACTTACTGTAGGATTATTTAATAAATTTGCTTTAGCAGAAGAGATACACAGAGATTGTATTGGGAATGTGAAAGGGAAATAACAAAGGGTAATTTAGAGCATTTTTTTCTTGGCCATTTAGGTGAGGGCAGGCCAAGGTGGTTCAATAGAGTACAGGGTTTTGGACAACCAGAGGGAAGTATAAGGGTGCTGAATTTATGGGGTCAGGGTAGATAGAAAGGCCAAAGACAAAAGGCCTGCCTGACAATTTTTCCAGCCAGCCTACTCCGCTGCCCCGCCTTGGGAAGCCAAATGAAGCTGTGATTTAACTCCCTGGCATCATCCTCTTGCCGTGCACCATCTACAATGGCAAGGTGGGACATATTTAACTTCTTTAAAGAGAGCTGAGTTTTTCTAGATGTTAAGAAAGAGAGTTGGACCTAATGATCACTAAAGAACCTATAGTTCTAACTCAGGAGATCCTCTATGAACACAAATTGTTTGAGTTCAAGTAACTGTTGCTAATTACCTAAAACTCTGATATATTTATTAAGTCTAGGCCAGACCAGACTGCTACTTCGAAATATTTTATAAGTAATACAACTGAGTTTTTTTTAAAAAAACAATAGCCTATGTAATTCAGACTTTTCACTTATATAGCCTGGCCTCTTCAAACATTCATAATGGATGAGGTTTTACTATATTTTTAATTTTAATAATAAAATTACACTGAGGGATTACCACTTGGGTATTGTTGGAGGGGATGGACTAATGACCTCTGAGGTTCATTCTGACTTTAATATTCCATAATTCTTTCTGGATGGAAACATTCTTATAAATTATATTTTCTTCACCTTTTGAAAGTCCTTCAAAGATTTCTCTGTTTCCTTTAGTTTCTCTAGGATGATTTGCTCTTTGGCAGATATCTGGGACTCTTCACTTTCTAGTGTCTGTATTTCCTGCTCCAGCCTAGAAAACACATAAAGATCAGGTTACTCTATCATTTTGTTATATATTAAAGAGAGCAACTTCTACTTACTGGGTGAATAGTAGCTTTCTTGATTTATCAATCTTATGTTTCAGTGAATTATCAGGCTAACCATCATTACTAGTATCTACATAACATTTCAAACTTAAAAAAATGCTTTATATAGATCTCAGCTGATCCTCACAACGGTAGGAAGTAGGCGTTATTATTTTCTCCATTTTGTAAATGAGCAAACTGAGGACAAAAGAGGTTAAGCAACTTGCCCAGCTGTGTGACTCCACAGCTAATACGCGTCTGAGGCAGGATTTTAACAAAAGTTTTCCTGACTCTATCTAGAGGTCTATCTACTATGCTGTCTAACTTGCTTCATCCTCTTTTACATACACATTATCCTTCAGTGAAGTCCTACTCCTGTCTCATCACAGGGTGGAGTGAGACATTGGTTCTTTTTTTAACCTTTTTCCCCCCCAAATTTATTCATTCATTCATTTTTAGTTTTCAACACTCTTTTATAAGATTTTGAACTCTAAATTTTCCCCCCACACTCCCCTCCCCAAGATGGCATGCAATCTGATATAGGCTATACATGTATAATTATATTAAAACGTATTTCCACATTAGTTGTGTTGTGAAAGAAGAATCAGAACAAAAGGGGAAAACCATGAGAAAGAAAAAGCAAATAAACAAAAAAGAGAAAATAGTATGCTTTGATCTGCATTCAGACTCCATAGTTCTTTCTCTGGATATGGATAGCATATTCCACCATGAGAGACATTAGTTCTTAAAGACTACATCAGAGGGCAGCTAGATGGTGCAGTGAATAGAGTACCAGCCCTGGGGTGAGGAGGATGTGAGTTCAAATCTGGCCTCAGACATATAACGCTTACTAGCTGTGTGACTCTGGGCAAGTCACTTAACCCCAATTGCCTCTCACACACACACAAAAAGACTATGTCAGCAGAACATAATTTCAGACAGGTACTATCAAATGGGAAAGGTTGTAAGTATGGACCCAGTGATGGACTGTGGCCATCATCCAAGTACCATTCTGAAGAAGCTCAACGCCATTTGCAAAGGGAAACATGTTTTGGCCACTGCAATTCAGGAACAGCAACATACTACAGTATAGTGATTTGCACTGGCAGAAACAGGGTGCATTGAGTTCAGATTATGGTTAAAAATAACAAAGAGTGGAGTTTTATTAGTTGGGAAAAATAATCAGATGTCTTTGTATTTGGGTGATGCATCTCAACATATTGTAATGCCTGATGCTGTTCTCTCTCCCTGATGTCTCCTCACGCAATGCCTCTCTAATTGGTACCATCCTTTAGGGTGGTATAGAGTAATAGAGACAGGCCAGCACTTGGAGTTGGAAGACCTGATTTCAAGTCTCTGCCATTTATTAGTGATAGTGACTTGGCCAAGTCACAAGATATTTTCAAGTTTTTATTTCTTTATAAAATGAGGTTAATAATGCCTTTGCTTCCTAACTCATAAGAGCAGAAAGAATTCTGTTGAGAGAGCTTTGTAAACTGAAGCTGAGTTCTTATTACAATTAGAGCCCAGGTTAAATGCCATCTCCTTTATGAAGTCTTCTCTTATTTTCCTAACTAGAAATAATCTTTTGAACACCCCCAAGTTCAGAAGGAACCTTATACCCTTTTATTTTCAGGTTTACATTCTAATTTTTTTTAACACATATATCTTAGCAATTAATCCCTCAATCGACAAGCATTTATGAAGTGTTTACTACATGCCAGAGGCACCATAGTAGAGGAAAGAGAGTTGGGTCTTGGAACCAGAAAGAGTTTGGTCTAAGTCCTACCTCTGACACATATTTTCCCTGTGACCCTAACCAAGTCAATTAATCTCTCAGTGCTCTTTCTAAGACTTTAACAGAAGGCTGTGGACTGCATTGGTAGAGGAAGTTTCCTCATTTGAGAATTCCCTGTGCCAATGAAATCACTGGTCCAGATGCTGTCTCTATCCCTAACCATGTACCAGGAACTGTGCTAAAAATGAGATAATATTTGTAAAGTATTTTGTAAACCTTAAAGTTCTAGATAAATGCTGGCTATTAATATTATTATCACTACTGTTATTACTAATTGCTGAGAATACAAAGAAAGGCAAAAACAGTACCTGCCATCAAGGAAAACACATTCTAATGGGTGAGTCAATATATTAATAGCTAGACACATAGAAGATATATGCAAAATATATGGAGGCTGATCTCGAAAAGGAAGGCAGTAACAGCTAGGGCCATTTTATCTTTCCTATTAGACTATAACCTCTATGAGGTAAGGACTAGTTTCTTTGTATCCTCTCCCAGTGTTTAGCATAATGCTCCCACATAGTAGTTTGCATATGTGTGTTGAATGAATGAATATCAAGGAAAGGATAAATGGATGGAATTTCCCTTTGATTCCTTTCATATACATAACCTTCATTCAAAGCATAATTCATTTTTAGCTAAAGTAGAAAATAACGTCCAAAGCAAGAAAATAATATCTAAAAAACGGCAGACTTAACTTTTGTGTGTCATTAACCCCTCTTCAGAATAATTATTTTAATGGATAATAATAATAAAAATAATAGCTATCATCTTTATAGTACTTTAAGGTTTGCAAAGCACTTTGTGTATTAATAGACACAAATATCCATTATGTATTAATATACATAAATCACACAAATTATTCTATGTTAATACACATATACATATATTGATATACTTCTCATTTGATTTTCACAACAATCTTGTGAGACAGGTGCTATTATTATCCCCATTTTACAGATGATGAAACTGAGGCTAACCTAAGGCCACACAGCTAGTGTAGGAGCCAAGATCTAAATGCAAGTTTTCCTGACTTTAAATCCAGTACCGTGCCAACTACCTGCCTCAAATAAAACACATGAGTTTACAAAGAAAACCAATTACACTGAAACATATTTATCACAAAAATTTTTTTTTATTAAAGTTCATGCCTCTCAAGCTAAGAAATAGTGGTCTAGAGAGATAAATTACTGTATATCTCTGCACTCCCAGTATTCTACCAATGGGATCAGAGAAGGACTGATACAGTGGCTGCTGTTCCTCAGGAAAAACTCCCAATTGTTCCTGAAAGACAGTTTGTTCTAGGAAGTCTCAAGGAGTGATACTAGGCTGTATCTCAAAGCAAGAACAATGGTGATTTGAGGATAGTCTTAGTAGCTGAGCACCCCCAATGACAAGAACTCAATCGAACCACAAACATTTAGCAGCTCCCTCCCTTCTTTCCAGAGGTATCAGACTATGAGAGTAGAGACTGCACACATAGCTAGGTACAGTCAATTTGAGGCATTCCCTGGCTTTGTTCAACTGCTTTTGTCTTGTCTTTCTTACCCCAAGAGCACTGGCAGAGATCTCAGCTGACATCCCAATCAGCTCAGGTATCGCATGAACCTGTGTGAATTGCTTTGTATGAATGAGACAAAAGGGGAGACCTGGCAGATTCCTTGTTTTTAAAAGATGTTACCCATAGTTATTATTTAGCAATTATTAGAGAATTATGTGAAAACAATGCCATTATATTGCAAAGTTAGAAAAATGGAAGGATAAGAAAGATAAGGGCCAGCTAGTTAGTACAGTAGGTAGAGTGCCAAGCCTAGAGTAAAGAAGAATCATCTTGCTGAGTTCAAATCTGACCTCAGACACTTACCAGCTGTGTGACCCTGGGCGAGTCATTTAACTCTGCCTCAGTTTTCTCATCTATAAAATGAGCTGGAGAAGGAAATGGGAGACTACTCCACTATCTTTGCCAAGAAAACTTCAAATGTGGTCACCAAGAATTGTTCATGACTGAACAATAAGAAAGGTAACTTAATCAAGGTTCTTACTTTTTCCTTATCTTTTAGGTTGATCTATTGTCTTTGATTCATGATATAGCACTACCTCATTCATCTAACATTGGTGTGTTCCTGAAATGGTGTGTTCCACATAAATAAACCTTCTGTAACAAATGAGTTTATTCTTTTAAACAATAATTTAGAGGCAGAGTCAAGACAGTGGAGAAAAGGCAGGAACTTGTCTGAGCTCTCCTAAAATTCCCTCCAAACAACTTTTAAAAATTCTTCCAAATGAATTCTGGAGCAGCAGAATCTATAAAAGGTTGGTGTGAAACAATTTTCTTGCCTACGACAACTTAGAAGGACTATAGGAAAGGTCTGTCTCACTCGGGTAAAAGGGGAGTGCAGCTCAGGACAGTCAGTGTCTGGGCAAGGCAGCAGAAGGACTGTAGCCGCAGCACAGGTCAGCAACTGAGAGCATGTGGCACCAGTATAGCAGGCCAGTGGCACAGTGGGCCAGCTATGAGGCCTCTAGCCCCCTACATGTAGCAGGCAAGCCACTGGTCCCAGAGGTCCTGGCATAATAGGCAAGCATTTCAGGCCCAGAGACCCCAACACAGCAGACACTACCAGGCCTGAAGACCTTAACACAGCAGGTGAGCCACTAGCCCTGGAGGCCCTGGTACAGCAGGTGAGTGTCCAGGTTCAGAAACTCCAGCACAGCAGGCCAGTGGCCAGGGCTCTGGTCCCCAGTGCAAGAAGGGTAGTGCCCCCTGTACCCCTGGAGCAGAGCTCAACTTTAAAAGTCAAGAAATAGGCTGGAAAATGAACAACCCCTCAAAAAACCCCTAATCGTAGAAAGCTACCATGGTGACTGAAAAGACCAAAACACAAAGTCAGAAGACAACAATGTCAAAGCACTTTCATGCAAAATCACAAAAAGAAATATGAAATTGGTCTCAGGCCCAAAAAAAACCTCCTAGAAGAACTCAAAAAGGTCAAGTAAGACAGGTAGAAGAAAAATTAGGGGGAAAATGTAAGAGAATCATGAAAAAAGAGTCCATAGCTTAGTAAAGGAAGCACCAAAAAAAAGTGGAAAAAAATGTATGAAATTTCACTGAAGAAAACAACTCCTTAAAAAGTAGCATTGGGCAAG